AGGACCCTCGTCCCGACCGCCTAGTGGGGGCCGTGTCCTTCGAGCGGCAAGATTGGACTCTGGCATGCAGCTAGTTGTTCGATTTTAAAAAGGTCGAAAAGGGTTTGTCCGAAGGTCTGGTCGTAAGAACCGGTCGTAAGAGCAGGTCGGGTGAGCCATGTTTAAGTGTTTACTTGTAGACCTTGCAGTCGGCGATTTCGGCTCCTTCGAGTTTGTCTTCTTCGCAGAAGTAGTCCTCGACGAGCTGCTTGCATTCAGGCATGGTAAGCTTATCCCAGGTGAAGGAGCTGAACTGGTCATGTTCCTTCAGCTCGGTAGGGAGGTCGTGTCCGAGACAGAAAAGTACGCCCTCGATGTCGTAGTAACCATCGCGCTTTAGAATGTCGCACACGGCAAAGCCGATTTTGCGGACGTAATTGTCGATGCGCTGATAGAACATGCCGAGCAGGTTGGAGGCTTTGAAGGCCTCCACGTTGTCCTGGTCGTTGTAGCGAAGGTACTTGACCTTCCACAGGGAGCACTCCTCCTCGTCGTACTTATCCCAGAAGTACTTCATGGCGTCCCCGCGGAGGTCCTTGCAGTTGGAGTAGTATCTCTTCCAGGCGTCCATGTCGTACTTGTAGGAGGGTCTCACCGGCTTGGCGGCGGGTTTCTCCACAGGCTTCTCCTCGTCAACATTCTCGGCAGCCGCCTCGACCTTCTTCCCAGCCTTCGGTTCGGGCTTCTCGCCGACCTTGTGGACAGTGTCCAAGAGCTTCGCGATGTTCTTGAGCCCTTCGGTCTTCACAATAGTCTCCTTTGTCATCAACTGTACAGCGCCAGCGAGAGCCAAATCTGCTAACGTCAACTTGCTACCCACCACGTGGCCGCTCTTGCCCATCTTCGAGTCGATTCGGGATAACACCGGGCTAACTTGCTGCTCCACAGCCTCCTTGGCCACGCTGCCCTTCTTGCACATAATAGACGGAATCTCCAGCTCAAGGTGGATGGCGTCCAAGGCGCTATCGACCTCCGCGCGCTCCTTGATACCATTGCCGTACAAACCACTCAAAGGGAAGGCGTTGCCGAAATATCGCAGGCAAGCCATCGAACCAGTCACCAGACCAGTGGGCGTCATCATGCAAGGGAAACGGTCAAATACATGATCCCCCTTAATCTCAGAAGGATCCAAAACTACAGGAAGATCACATAACCCCAATGTCCAACCTTGACCCCTAACACAGTGGTGTGTGCGACACAGTGTGTCATGCACACCAACTACGATGTACACACCCAGTGGTGTTTGCCATCCATTCGCCGGTACGGTATGGCGCGGTACGCACAGATGTAGAACCATTGTGCGTTCGCAGACCCCGCGAATGATTAATCAAACGTTCCGCAGCTCATGTCTCGGCATCCTCAAATCGCGGCGCATCGGTGTTTATTTTCTACACAGGTGCACGTTTATGAGACCCACCTTTCGCTTCAACGCCACACGCCTTCGCAGCGCTCAGGAGCTTTTCAATTTGGCAACAGCCCTCATGCGCGAAGATAGTCTAAAAGATAGTAGTAGTCTTTTCCGCGGTTCACAAAGTTCAGTAAGTGTGCCCGGCACGGGCCCAACAGTCGACTGCAGGGACCCCGAACCTTGTTTGGTTGGGCTGAACCCTCATTGGGCTAGGGTCGCTTACGAATTGGTTCATGGGTCTGACTTGCTTATCTAGGTGTCGAAAAAAATTCGGGTGACAGAACGTTTTGCCCCGCAGAGACAAATCTCGTCGAAAAAAAAATTAGTGGTAACCATGGCGCCCAGGAACATTACCCCCGGCACGGTTGTTATCATCCTCTGCGGACCTAATGCCGGCAAGCGCGCGGTCTACATAAAGCCAGCCACCACTGGTAAGGTGAAACTCTGAATTGGCACAGGGCTATCTGCACGGGTGTGGACAGCACACGTTTGTGCTGGACATGCACACGGTTGTGCTGCCCCCGGGGTGCTGCCAAAACGTATTCCGGGACAGGGACACTCGTTTATCTCCACCGCGCTATGCCGCCGCAATATGGCGCCGAGTTGCCCGTCCTGGCCGTGGGAGTGTGTTCCGCACGCTGTGTGTTGCTCATTATATGTGATGGTCATCCAACAAGTTGCTTGTCCCATGAGTTGTTGTATGTGCAGGTTACTTGACCGTTGCTGGTCCGTCTTGCCCGGTCACCCGGGTGCCCAGGAGACACTGTGTGGCGACTTCCACCAAAGTCGACGTCAGTTCCGTAAAGGATGAGATTGAGGGCGAGTTGAACACCATTATCAAGAAGGATTTGCTTTTGGAGGAGTACTTGAACACCCCATTCTCTTTGAATGAGTGTTTGGGTGTGGCCCCCCACGAGCTCACCTTCTAAGTTTTTTTATCAACTGCCGCGCCATCCTCAATAGACCATCACTAAGCGCTGGGCTGTGTGGCCACGCGGGGGGGGGAAGGGGGGGGGGGGTGGGTCATCGTCTTAAGAGGTGGCGTTTAGGGTACCATGAGGTCCGCCCATGTATATTATTCCTCTACGTATTCCTCCTGTCCATTGTTGGTTTCGTCTTGATTGTCTGTTTGGTATTCTTGCCAAGTGGAGATGACGGTGTCTATATTTTGCAGAGTGTCACGTGTACATTGTAGAACGAATTGGATGAGAGGTGCGTCGGCTCTAGTGGGTTCGGTGAGTGGTCGGGTGAGTACTGGAGCCACGAATTGTGCGAGTAGGTCTTCGGGTGCGGCGTAGTCGGGGAAGGCGGGTGCGGAGAGAAGCCACTGGCCAGCCCAGCATAGGACACCGTTGAACAGGAAGGTTTGAACAGGGTTCATAAGATTATAGGCGACTTCCAGCAAGACTTCATAGGTGGGCTCATATTCCTCGTTCAAATATTCATTCAGATGGTGCCAGCTATCCTTACCTAGAATTGGTCCAAAGCTACGCAATAATACACCCAAACTCACCATCATGACATTCCCGCTAGGCGGCTCCAACATTGGCTCCCCATTCTTCACGTTCTCCACAAACGCGTACAGCTCGTCCGAACTTGGAAATGCTTCGCCACTGTGTCGCACTGTACGTGGAACACGTAACAAATACACCAACTGAGCCACATGAGATGGCACCACCAACCCGCTCTCCGTCTCACACCCACTTCCACTCAAAGCCTTTGAGTACGACTCCCGCAACGGACTCCACTCCACAATCCCTTCATCTACCAACACCGCTAACGGCACCGAACACACCTGTCGGATCTCCTTGTAATAATTCTTGAATCTGATAAACACAGTCATGTAATTAGTCATGTACTCTTATTTATCAAACTCATGTAACACATACTTATGAGTGTGTGCGTTGAGACACACACTCTGTTAGCACACACTTACTCCGTGCAATACACCAACTTCTTCTCCCAAAAGTGCTTCGACGCAGGCACCAACTGTAACAACGCGCGGGCGCTCACTCCTCCACCAGCTATCACCAAATGTGAACATTCCTTCCGCATCTTCATCGGAAGCGCAGACAAGACTACAAAATCTGCCACTGAAAGGGAGGGGGG